TGTTGCCACAATTAATTTAGATGTTAGATGAAAATTGCAGTGCATGATCAATTCTAGGTGAGTACCTACCTAAAATGTAGCTTTCGCATATCCTAGCCGCCCATCAACAATACTGAGTACCCCTATCATCATCACACCCGTATCATTTCCCAAAGCACCCAACTTATAATCGTGCATGAGAAACATGACTTACTGAAGATATCTTTTACTACTCGCCCAATTCCACAACGAATTGTATTTTTATTTGCTCTGTCATTTAATAGCATTCACCATTCTTCGTCTAAGCAGCACATCATGACCTAGAAACCGCTCAAAACACTAGAAGAACTCATGCCACTCATACATCCTCAACGTAGCCCTTTGGTTCTCTTCTTGCGTATCATTGTCATCGCTGGCAGTCGCTCTAAACAACCACTGACTTCCTAGTCCTATCTTACCAGCCCGTATCTATAGTGGTGACTCGATTACCACGGATGCAAACTCACGAAGGCTTTCTGTCTCCCGAATCCAGCCCCTATCTGGACTAATTGGCCAAGCTTTTCTGCATGGGAATGTCGGGTCTTAGCCCTCTTGACCCTTAACCTTCCTTCCTCTTAGCTTTAAGAGGCATCATGGCCCTAGATGCCGGCTATGATAGCCATAAAGCTACTGGAACTTGGGATGTAGGCCTTCATACTGTTATCATGAACCTTTTCACCTGACATCCAGTATATACGTATGACCTGGTAGCCTTCCGTGTACCTACTTTTACCATTGGCCTTATGACAAGGTACCTAGATTGCTAAAACGCAACATATATATATACATATGCCTAAAAGCTTCCAGAAACCTTGTCGCCGGCCTAGCTAGTTCGAATATCACGACTAAAGATATTGACAATTACTTACTATATAGAAAAAGAAGAAAATTGAATACGTGGCTGGCCATAATCGGTCAGCGAAATCCCCAGACAACCCGAACTCCATGAAACAGATAAATCCGATGGCGGGGGCCCTATTGGTGAAGTGCACCTAGTCGGTCAGCGAAATCCCCAGACAACCCGAACTCCATGAAACAGACAAATCCGATGGCGGGGGCCCTATTGGTGAAGTGCACCGACCAGCTCTGGTATTCGGGTGTGACTCGAGAGTGTTACCACTGAGCCACTGGGCCCCAAGGACGTCCCGGACGCCCTTGGGGTACTGGGAAATGATCCTGTTACAGGTCCATATAACCTTTAGGTGCCGCCGGCAAGATTTCGGTTATTGCTACCGCCCTGAGTCACTGTCGCCCCGGCGCAACGCAGTACTTACCATACCTTAGGTACCGAGGTAAGTACCTACCTTCCAAAATACCTACGGTAGGCAATTGAGATGATAAGTTACGTACCTACACCACCAAATACCTACCGAGGTAAATAAATGAAGCCATCGTATGTCCTGGCCGCCCACCAACACCTAACACTGTAGCACCCCTATTACAGTCACTCCAGATTAATTCCCAAGACACATTATCGTGATCGTGCATGATAGACTTAATTGATCTAACATATCTCCTACCAGTCGACCTAGTTCAATAATGATTTTCCTTTTTTTTGTTTGTTTCAATTTGCTATGGCATCTGATGACATCTAACCATCCCTCATCTCGGCAGCGCAACTACGCAAGACCTACAAATTGCTCACGTCAATAGAAAAACTCATGTCACTCATGCATCATTAACGTGGCGTTCAAGTTATTATATTACATATTACGAAATATAACCATCGCTTGCAATCGCTTTTGAATTATCAAAAACTTCCTAGATAATTCTTACCAGCCTGTATCTGTACTGGTGACTGCCTAGCTATTACGGTAAGCCATAGAGAAAATTACATGTATGCATGATTACAAATGCATTCTTCCTCCCAAATACAGTCCCTATCCGCACTAATATTCCAAACCCTTCTGTCTGGGAGTGTCAGGACTTAGCCCTTAGCTTTAGCTTTCCTCTTATAGACTTAATCGCCCTAGATGCTGATGCCGGATAAGATAGCCATATAACGGCTTATAGAGCTTAGAGTACAGTGATTAGGCCCCTTAGATCCTTATGATAACTCTCTGTGTCTGTCATCCTGTTCACTCACTGTTCAATGTAATATCCTCACTTGGTTGACCTTAGGACAGGGAGGATAGAAGTTTAAATTGCAAAAGCGCACCATATACTTATGCCGAAAAGCTCCCCAGGTGACCTGACAAGACTTAACGCCATCAAGGTTGATAGGTTGAAGAATCTAGGCATAAAACCTTGGATATCATACCCCTGATTAGGTAACTAACCCCTTTTCTTGATGTTGGAGGTCGTCGATAGTGGATCACCGGGATTTGAGCCTCAAGTCTTAGTCAGACAGAGCCTTGGCATACCTCAACGTGGTCCATGGTGATTACATAACAGGTGGGGGTACCCCAATAGCCCTTTATTCGGGCCGCCACACCCAAAGCTCAACTTTATCTTCTCAACATTCAAACGCGGGATACAGAATACAGAGCACACCTCTTTTCACATCCTGAAAACTCTAAAACGCGTACCTTTCATGCCTATAAAAAGGCCACCAAATAATATCTAATAAATATGATTTCTACCTGAATCTTTACGCTGGATCCACGAGTTATCAGCCGTGGATCATACCCGCATCATGACGTCCTCCCGTCTGCCTCGTTAACACTGTTAACAAACACCAGGGGAACAGAGAGCAAAACATCAACGCATTTCCTGCGAGTATTCAATATCCCAGGAATCCACGACCAAATAATGGACTATGGATAAGAACGTTGATGAATCGGACAAGTAAGCTTCCCACAGCCACATCAATCACGGGGTACTATTATATCGCGATTCACAAACTAACACGGTCTCCCCTCAGATACCTGTCCAAAGCCTCTACACGTAGAACCTATCGAAGGCTCTCATCCATCGCCCCTGAAAAGGCGCATGCGACGATGTGAAGCATAGCATCGCTCGATTGATTCTCGACTTATTCCCGTCGTCCTAGGCAGGACGTTAAAAGGCCTAAAGAGTCGTGGGATGCATGGTTCAAGTTCCCGACACGGAGTCCTAGGCGATAAAAGGCCTTATGGACGGCCATGGAACACTAATGGGTCCTGGCGTCATGTTAGTCCTGGGCACGACATGTTAAACGGCCCCCGCGCAGCATAGGCGGCGTTGCGTTATGCAACACGAGTCACGGGTGTACGGCTACTACGGAATGCATGATCACGAGTTTCAAGCATGATTCTTAGGTCGCCGACATAATAAGGTTGATGGCGCTTCTTCTCGCCACACAGTAGGCCCAACCCTTGTACGTCATCTACACCGGAGCAATAGCTTACAAGTCTTATCAAGCAGATACACGATCTAGAGGACTTCTACGTTCGGCAAAGTACCAATTCAAGTTCGACACGTCAGTTACTACGATAATGGCAAGATACCATTTGACACGACGATTTTGGAATGGTTATCATCGTCCTAGGCACGACGATAAACGGCCTTAATCACTCTGAATCAGAGGACATGTTAGGTGAATGTCACCAATGTCTTATATCACTCTGATATTCGGAGAACATGTTAGGGGAGTATCCCCAACATGTTAACCCAATAATGGGATTCATTATTTGGAAGTACCTAATAGGTAATTTGCCTACTGGTAAACATAGAGTTGGGAATTCCGCTCTATGAAATGACCAAGGAGTGCAGTCGTAAATTCATTGACGCCGTGCGTGGTGGTTGCAATTCGAGAAGATCATCGCCGATCATTCCCATTCTCAACATCAGATCGCGACGTGATGTTACAAGGGACCGTCCGCCAACTATCTCGAATTCCCCACGCGTATGGACAACACATGGTTGAATACGGCCACGCACGCCCGTCAGTCGAATTTCACAGCCCAGCTAGCCTGTTCATAGCGGCTCTGGGACTTCTTTTCTTTGCTGTCATGACTTGTGGGAAAGGGTGTCCTGAATACCACTTGCTGTTCGAATTTTTTTCAATCGAGCCGATAACGTACAAGCAAGAGTGTCAGTAGTCTGTACATGGGCACCTTGTAGCAATCACTTTGCGGCCTCGGCGGATTGGGACGGTAACGGATCCTTACCGCCCCCTGTTCGAGGCTCTTAATGACGCTGGTACCTCCAATGGCTCGGGTTCTTTCTGAAGGAGATAAGCGCGATAGTAAGAGCCGTATGCCTGACCGAGAGAGATGCCACAACTTCTTTTTCATCCCTCTCGCGACCGTCGGCAGAAGCTACTTTGCTCCGGAGCCAGCATCTCGGACTAGGCCGAGGAGAACCCTGCCCACGCTGATAACCTGCCTCTCTTCGCACCAACTGTTAACAAACCCCGACGCCGGTGCGAAGCCTCCCGGAGGCGTGGGCGAGAGCTTTGGAAGATGGAAAAGGACAGCCACGCACGCGGAATGTCCGCGTGCTCCTGTTCCTTGGGGCTGGGGCTGGTCGCGTCTCTCACGTTTGGCGGGTTATTTCGCAGGTTCGCCTGTCCCGCCACGAAGGCCCCCGGCTTGATTGAGTAAGAATTACACGATCCGGGAATCAAAAAAAAAACTATGAGACGCAACCGTTCACTGATTATCTCGCCGTTGCGTCTCGGCTCAATTAATATTTTTTTGGAAAAAATAGAAAAAAAAAACTTAATACTGGACAACTGGGGGTAGCTGGCGGGGGGTTTGTACCCGTGTAAGGAGATGTACGCTTTGGATTCTTCTTGACTGATGGAAAGATAGCTGGGTAGCTTAGATTCAAGCCAGACATTGCCTCCAATCGCTGCGAGACTCCTCTATCGTGACATTGTGGCGCTTGATCATTATCATGTGAACGTGGCTCAATTGAGTAGACCTCCCTGTAGATGTGGACTCACAAATGATGGGAACAAACAGTCTTGGTACCAAACAGATTCCACGGTATCGACCGATTATTATTGTTTGTGTCGCCGAAGTTACCAAGGCCACATGGGACTATCCATTCCTAAGAGTTTCATAGCGCAGGGGAAGCGCGCCGGACTGTAAGCCCGGAGGTCCTCCGATCGAAACGGAGTGAAACTACCAATTCCTTCCTTTCTTTTCTAAATTTTTGATCAGGTTCGTAACTACAGTCTTGCTCATATGCTAATTCTATTCCATAGAGGATTTTACTCTGTAGAGTATTAGCTGACAGCATGAACAAGTGGTATGCGGTAGAAAGACTGGATGTTCGTTATTTGGCCTTGAATCCTTTGCTTTTGGGACGGTACCCAGTAAGCCAGGACACAAGGGTGTGAGGAAGTATGACTTTCACGAGTAGACGGGGTACGATGATGTAATGGTATTGTGTTTATTTTCCAACTTATGTTATTACTGATAATGCTATTTGCTCAATCGTGATACAATACACTACTCCTACATCGGTGGCCGGGTTTCCCGACCACCGTTTCAATCCAACAGGTTGTTTCTGAGCATGTGTCGAGTTCCCACCCGTTTCTGAATCTCTGGCCTAAGTTATCCTCCATCCCATGGTGCGTATACCCAGATCGACCCACACGTGTGCCTTTGTAACATGTCAAAGTCCCTTAGCCTTCATACATATAACATCAAATTTATTTCGTTGAGCTCTGCGGGCCACGGACGAAACTGCGGGTCAAGAGGTCAGCCCGGCATGTTCTTTTAAGTGTCATTTAATTCCAAGGCAACTCACTTATGCCACATCTGGCCGATGAAGCCTGGTTGGGGCTTCTGTTCGTGCAGGCTAGCTCTTCTGGCCGTGGAGCTGGCATCGCTACCACGCTTTTGGTTCATGAGACCATCGAAGGCAGGTCCGGAGGAGCCCTGTGCGTGTCTATGTTAGGAATCGTTCGGGGTGAAGACTTGTCTCATAAGAAAATTGTGTTTTCTATGAGTAGGTGAGGTGGAACTGCTTACTGAACCACTTACTCTTCTTTCGGAAGGGCTGGAAGGGGAGGGTGAGTTGGTACCCTTGGCGCTATCCATTTTGAATAGTAGTATGCTGTTTGAAGGTGTATTGTCGTTGGTAATGTTGGGGTATGTGATGTCGAAGTGGTTTCACAGGTGTTTTCAATGCACAGGTGGTGGGTGTCTCGAGGAATTAAATGGATCAACGCGAATGGGTTGGAGAAGGAGGGTAAGCTCTCTTTAAGTAGGATCTGAATATCGACTACGTAGGGACAAAATGCATCTATCAAACCACGCGACCCTCGCGTAATCCAACGGCCGCACGATCTCCAAAAGGAGACAAGAAACAAGAGCTACCACCCACTACCTACCAGCTACGGCACTACTGCATATTCCCATTGTCTTGACGCGGGTTGATTGATCGGCGGGCAGCTTCCTGTCCGTCTAGCGATTGGGGAAAGTCCACTAAGCAGCTAAGGAGCACTTTGGATGACTTCACCAATGAGGCAGGACATCGGGGCGATCGAGCGCACGTTCCGCCATACTCGCGTTGTACATACCACCCGATTGCCAGTTAAAACAACAATCAAAGAAGCCGTGCTGACGGGTGTAAGCCGATGTACTTTCTGCGTTCAGAAGGGAAGCAAACGTCATAGGCGAGGCATAGCTTCTCCATCCCTTGCCCGATAGGGGAAGATGTACAGAAGAGTCGCGGGCCCGGGCTTCTTCACGCCATACATAACGGCCTTCTTTACCCCGCAAGGAAAACGAGACAAAGGAGAGATCGCAGAGGCTGATATCGACGGTCGAATCGGATTTATTCGATCGTCACGTCCTACTGCCTTAATTAGTCGCATAAGTATGACACCCACTTGGGGTCCGTCTTTGTTGTACTACCGGATTACTTAACTAATAATCCTCCTGGCAGCCTACCTAGACAGTGAATCAACTTCCTTCGTTGCCGGCAGCTACCAATTAGATTGTATATTAAGATGTTCATATAGATGGCATGATTACACGAGACGAACCCAATCACAAGTTTCTATCCTCTCATGTAATAATTAAGCAGGTAATTTATATTTCGCTGAGTAAGGGAGTTGATGTGAGACAGGTGAATCGATGATGCAACAGACTTGTCAGGGTCCAGACCCATCGTAATCCATCGGACTGCCGGTCGTATGACCCACCTTCCCCAGAAAGTCCAGCCCGACAGCTTCGCGCTTCAGATCGACTCCGAAATTTGGTAATCACGGGACACAGTATGGAAGACTCCAGACATATTACGCAGGCAGAAACGACGAGGGATTGTTATCAATTGATGTATTAAAACTAAAGGTCCATACCAGGCCACGGCACATGCACATGACATGGAAGCCCTTCAATATATAACCAGATATTCGCAGTCAAAGCTTGCATGACTACCTACGTTGTGATCTACTGAAGCAATGTTAGCTGCGTAAACTTGGCTAATCGTGGAAATGACAAGCAATTGAATAGCCTCTTCAGTTCTCCAAGGTGATTGGTACAAGTCTCGTCATGAAGAACTCCGACAAAATGCAGGAAATATTATCATCCGGAAGGCACTCAGCAGACAGGTATAACTAGACTGACCTTTCGGGTATCAACAATATGGGATGCTGTACAAGTCAATATTACCTAGCGTGGGAGCCAAGTTAGCGGCGTCGACAAGAGCGTATAACTAGTAAAGCATTGTGTGTAAAAGCTATCAGCCTACAAATGTTAGCTTCCAGTGTCCATCGAGTAGACCCAGGGTGTAAGCACAAACCTCATTAAATCAGATTTTTTAGAATGTTCATTTCCAAGCCCAGAGGACAGGATCAAACAGTGTGAATAATGATCATCATTTTGCGACATAAACCAAGTAACTAGAAGAGAAAATAATACCTGCCAAGCTTCGTTAGCCGTGCTCCAAATCCTCGGCATGAAGTAGCGTGTAGCTCGACAAGACACTATCAGCTGACGAGTTCTCAACAAGAATTCCCCGTACACCTCCTCCCACAAGGGTTGTACGTCCTTGCTTTGGACGAGAGAAGGGATGAGGATTCGTTTATGTCCGCCCGTTCGTTCAACGTATCCTCACGCGAATGTCATGGATAGAGAGGTGGATGTGTAGTAGGGATATGTACCTATTCAAGCTGACGAGTTAGCAATGTGCTCGAGGAAACATGATGCAACAAATAGCAGCAAGAAATTGTGAGGTCAGACAAGGCTGAAACTAAACAAATCTACATAGTATATTCTGAATGAGGAATTCCCTAGGTTTGTCGATTTCTTCATCACCCCTCGGTGAAGATCCAGAAGGACGTAACAAACGGAGATAAGCACACACCTTTTCAAAATGGACGAGCATGTCGACGAGTGGTCAGTGACGCCGTCAACAACCTGTTCTAATGCCAGTCAGCTTCATGTCAACCATCGTAATGGCATTACGATAATAGACGTAAGGTGCTTGCTCAGGGTAATTCTAGAGACTAGATCCCCATGGCTATGTAAGAATTGGATTGTTCAAATTTTTTCTTCGTCACAGCAAAGCGAGGTAGGAAGTTCGGGAAGCGTCGCAACTTACATTATAACATGATCAAGAGACTGGCCAATACCAACAAGGGCATGGAAGCAAGAAATCCAAGCTTCTGCAGGCTGGAAGTGTGAAAGATGTGGAAAACAGGAAGGATTTGGTTGGAGGAAGAAAGCTTTAAGGATGCGAAGAAAATAAAAATTCTTTAGTGGGGAGCTCAAGCTAGCGCTAACCTCGGAAATTTCACCTTACAAGCTCCGATTTCTTACCTAAGTCAGTGGCGAGTACTGCGCCCCAAGCCACTTACCTAAGCAGACCTCATGAGTTTAATGGGGGGCTCGTCATTCTCCCTTCTCCCTCTTCGCCAGATCACAACTCTCACCTCACTCCCCGTCCGCCGCACACAAGCGACGAACAGCGAAGTGAATATCGAAAATGTCCGCCCCCATAGGTGGCATATGGGCGCCCGCGGCGTTGCGGGTCGTCCGTAGCGCCGCCTCGAAGGCAACCAAGCTGCTGCGGGCGAAGCTCGACAGCGCCGCGCGCCCCGTCAACGCCGCCCTCGAGCCCGTCCTCGTCCGGGCACACCCGCGCCAGCCCGTCCACCCGGCCGCCCTCCTGCGCCAGCAGAAGAGCGGCCGCCGATGGCACTCTACTACTACCACTACCACAACCTCGACGTACCAGAACATCCACGCCGCGGTCCGCCGCTTCATGAGCACCGGCCGCACCGCCGCCCGCGAAGACCGCGCCAGGTTCCTCAACACCCAGACCGGCCGAGCCGTCGCCCAATTCACCGGCCGCGCGCCCTTCGCGAGCGCCCTGCGGCCCAACCTCACGGGCGGCGCGCTCCCGCGGACCGCGGGCGGATACGGGCTCGGGTCCGGACGGATCGGCGGGGCTCGGTACTTCTCGCACGCGCCGGCGGCGCAGGCCCAGGTGGTGCAGAACGTGTCGGCCGCCGTGCGCGCGTTCTGGGTTTCCGGCCAGAAGGCGCAGTTCGACGGGCTGAACGCCCGCGGCGAGCGCAAGTACCGCGCCGTCTCGACGCTGCAGGACGAGACCGCGCGGAAGATGGCGGCGGTGTCCCGCAATGTGCCCGGCTCCTACGTCGACTTCCGATTGAGCCCTACCGTTACGGCTCTGAGCCCCCTCGCGGCCGCGTTCCCCTACCCGTCGGCCGGCTTCAACGCCCCGGTCATCGACGCCACGACCCTGAACACCGACGGCTTTCTCGACGTGCTGTCCGTGGACTTTGCCCGCTCCCTGAAGGAGTTGACTATGACGTTGGGCGATATCAAGAAACTTTCCTCATTAGGTGACCTTCCGATACAACTGGAAACAGGGAACGTGATACGAGTCCGCTTCCCGGGCGTCGACGCCGATACTGTCGAGTCTCTGTGCGACGAACTCGGGCTAACAAGGGGCGTCGTCAGGGAGGACGCCGACTTCGAGGTCGACCAGGGCGTAAGGATGGCGTTGAAGTTCCCCTTCGCGCCCGGTGCCGAAACAGGCAGCGCTACGCAGACCCTGACCTCGCCCGGCGGCTCGCTCCGTTCCCAGGATAGCTTTTTCGCGACGGGAGAAGAGTTCTTCGAGGAAGGGCTCAGCGAGATGGAAG